CTGGATGAGGCTTTGAGCAACCTGGTCTAGTGGAAGGTGTCCCTGCTGATGGCAGGGGGGTTGGAACTGGATGAGCTTTAAGGTCCCTTCCAACCAAAACCATTCTATGATCTTCAAATGTGAACCCTCTTCTTCTTGACTTGGAGTATTGGGGCTGACCTTCAGAACTCAGTGCTCTCAGGGACACGTGTGCTCTCCTCAAGGGCTTGCAGGAACTTTGCACTCGCCTGTAAATGTAGCGAGACGGTGATTTCCACAACTGATCTATTCCGGTTTGTGTTGAGGTTGTTCCTGCTTGTCTCCTTCTCTTTCACCATGCTCGTAAATGAGGCTCTTATTTGTGCTGTACAGTAACTTGGCAGCTGAGGTGCTTCAGCTGCCAGAGCTCATCAGGAAGAAACCTGCAGTGCCAGAGCAAGGGCGGTGCAGCAGAGGAAGGCTGAGCTCTTACAGGGTGAGCTGTGTGGCACAGGCAAGCACAGCACCAGCTTGAGCCAAACAAACACCATGAACTTCAGCGAGCACCAAACATGCAGCACTTGCTAGGTGGAGACAGCACAGGATCTAATTTGAGAGCAGAATTGCAATTAAAAATTAACTAAGCCTCTCCACCCCTTGACTGCTGTGGTTATAACATCTGTGTGTGAGTGTTCCCTGTCCCACCTCACCAGCTGATGGTGAGGAGTCACCTTTTGTGGGAGGAGGGCTGGGAATATAGCATGTTCCTGTGACAAAAATAATTGAATCTGAGCTGTGATGGGACTCCTCTGCTGTTGCTAACAAAGGAGGCCTCTGTCTGCCTCTCCTCAGACACACATGTCCTGGATTTTGTGCTCCACATACCAGTCTTGCTGTCATTGGAGAGACAGGAGAAGGACAGGCCTGACAGCTGGAGGTGCTGGAGGGGGCAGGAAGCCATCTCATGATGCCAGTTTTGCTTGGCAGACTCATCCCATTCCTCCCCCATGGGGAACTCCAGCATCCTGAATCCATCAATTCCTTCCTGGAGTTAATTCTGCTTTCAGGTCCTGGGGCTGATGCTAAAAAAGACCCAGGATTGACTACAGAGAAGCTGACAAGGCCATGGTGACAACCAAGTTTTTATGGCAGTAGTTCCTCAGAGCAGCAAATGGATAGATGTGCATAATCCTGTGTATCTTCACAGGATGGGAAACAAGAGGCTGGGAGAAATGCCACTCTGCAAGTTCACAGTACAGCCTCTTAGGAAATCTTCTGCAGAACTGGCATCAATCTGGAGAACGCCAGGGAAAATTTGGAGGTATATGAGCAGGATTGTTGAAAAAAACCTAGGTGTGGCTGCTTGGGGAAGAAAATTCAACTGGTCAAAGCGGTTAGGGTGGAGAGGAAAAGGAGGAAACAAACAATTGTGAACAATCAGGGGGATTTAAAAGATACAAACTTGATGTATTAAACCTTTGCATACGTCGATGCAGGATATTAAAGCTCCAAAGTTGACCAACTTCAAAAGGCAAATAGTCTCCTCTGGCTACCACAGAGCAGAGGCAGCACTGGCTGCAAGATTTAAGCCAGCTCTTCACATAGATATGCCCAGTTGTGATAACTCCAAAGTCATCTGCTTACAAACCCATCTCAAATTTTGTTCAGCTGCTGCTTCCACTGTATGGCAGTGTTGCTAGTTTTGGGACTGTGCCATTTCAGAAGGTAAGGTTTAGAGGAGTTTCATTAATATAGTGAACAAAAGGAAGTTTAATTTCTTCAGGATAGCAGAAGAATTGGGGAAATCTGGCATGTTCAGTATGTGGAGTCTTAAAATATCTTGAAAGCTCAAAGCAAAACCCCCAAAAAAAAGGTCCTCTTTTGGCTTGAGAACTGTACTTTAAATTACTTGATGGCTAGGAGCTATGAAGGAGATAGATCTCCCTGTGGCAATAGGAGAACAGTCCATAATGCTCTAATACACAGTTGGCTTTTTGGATTTGTTTTAATAAACATTGAAAATGGTATGCCTTGAACAAATAGCTAGGAGGAGGAGAGCCCTGAAAGCAATCTGTAATTAGCTCAGGCATGTCTTCTTCCACACCAGCTCTTCTCAACTTGTTTAACTACTTAATTATCTTGGATAAGGAGCGTAAAGATCCTAACAGCTCTGCAAATCTCTGTTTTCCTGCCTAATTAAAGCAATGTGGACAGAGTTGGCAGTAGGCACCACACACAGCTATGCAGTGCTAGGAAGCAAATCAACAACTAGTGGGAGTTGTCCCTCCACCTTGAAAAGGAGAATTGTACCTGGAACCAGACATCTTAAGGTAAGAAGTGCAATGCCTTGTTGCAGGAGGTTATTATCTAGCTTCATTCTTGGCTAGGTTGAAGAGTAGAAAAACACTTCCAACATCCACAAGAGACATTCATCATCACCTAGGGACCTGGCTGCCTTAATGTTCTGGTTAGACTGCCAGGCTCCAGTTTGGGATGCTGTTAAATGAAGTTGTGTTCATGGTGAAGCCAGTAAGAAAGCCAGCTGGATGGGAAAACGTATGTCTGAGTTATCCTCTCCAAGTGTTGGTGTCTGCCAGGATTAACAGCCCAGGAGAACATATCTCCTGCAGAGGAAAGGAGGGGAGCACACAGTTTGAAGGAAGTGACATTTGTGCTGTCCCTGCTCATATGTTCATGATCCGAGGGCTGGAGCAGCTCTGCTGTGAGGACAGGCTGAGAGAGTTGGGGCTGTTCAGCCTGGAGAAGAGAAGGCTCCAGGGAGACCTTCTAGCAGCCTCCCAGTACCTGAAGGGGCTCCAGGAAGGGTGGGGAGGGACTTTGGCCAAGGGCAGGGAGTGACAGAACAAGGGGTGGTGGCTTGAAACTGGAAGAGGGGAGATGGAGATGAGATGTGAGGAAGAAATTCTTTGGTGTGAGGGTGGTGAGCCAGTGTCCCAGGTTGCCCAGAGAAGCTGTGGCTGCTCCTCCCTGGAAGTCATGGGAAATGGGAATGCTGTGTGTTTGGTATTTGGTGTAAGTATGGACCAGAAATTATTACAGGAGCTTTCTCTTGTGAATTTGAAGGACCTGCTTTTGGGTGCTGCTGGCTTTATGGACTCTGACCTGAGATGTCAACTGAATCAAAAGCGACTGAGATGATGCTAACCTGGCTGTGCAGTAAGAGCTCCTTAGGTGCCAGGACTGCTCTATAGATGGGATTTTTAAGGTCAACAGCTGGCTGAGAGAACATTTCTGTGCTGCTTTCCCATCTCAACAGCATCTTGCTGTGTGCTGTGCAATGATGGGCTCAGCACAGCCTCTAGCTGTGGCATCCCATGAAGTTAGAGCAGTACTGTTGTCTTCAACCACTGAATTTAGTCTCATGCTCTTTCCTGGTAGTTGAAGGGTGACCAGTGCTTGTTGGGAAGATCAGCAAGTTATAACAAGACCCACATACCAGTTTAGCTCCAGAATTAATTAACCTAAATATTTAATAGGATTAAGCAAAAGCCTTTGAAACAAAAGATCATAGTGGGCTCCAGTGACCCTTGGTACACCCAGGCTGGCAGCAGGGAACTCTGCTGACCTTGCTCTCTGTTGGGGTTGGCTCTTCCCCGACCAGACTGGTGACCCCAGCCTAGTATTGCTCTTCTTCTGGCTGTTGCTGCTTAAAGCAGCATGGTCTATTTTAAGCAAGGAGCTTGCTAGACCAAGTTTTAAGGAACTTGAGTCCTCTCCTGCCTATGTAGGAAACATAACTGAGTGTGAGAGAGGAAGGAGAAGCAGAAAATCTGGCCTGAGATGTTCCCCCACCAGTCCTCATGTGTTACTCAGCTGTGTTGCTTCCTCAGGACCAGGCAGGGATGGCCTGTGGGACTTTTTTCAAACTTCTGAGCTCTTTGCTGTCAGACCAGTGAGAACTGGAGTAGCTTGCAGTAATACAGATCTATTTACTTCCCAAGTCCTCTAGGCAAAGACCTGATGAAGATCCCTTGTTGCTAAGCTGCCTAATTTGCAGTGTTAACAGCAACTATGTTGTCTCTTCTCCTGTGGCTTTACTTAGGCTTCAGAACTGGATGATCTTTAAGGTCCCTTCCAACCCAAACCATTCTATGATTCTAAAGTTAACTTCAGATACAGTAAAGTACCTTCTCTCTGGAGTGAAGACCTGAGGATTTGTCTCTAGCTCTCTTGGCATTGCTTGCTAGCCACCTCATGGATGTGTATACTTTGTGTGACTGGTATCAACAAACTAAAACCAGCATCTTGTCTTACCAGTGCTCCAACACTGCCTTGAATTTGTGAGGTTGGCTTTGGAAACTGGGATTTGTTGAAATCTTGCCTGCCTTGATCTTGCAGCAGAATTGGTGAAGCAGACTTGCTGGTCCTCACGTGTTGTCAAAGCATCAGGTGCCGAGTTGCACGCAGGAAACTTGATTTAAGGCTGCATTTGAAATTGACCCCTTGACCTCACTCTTCAGTGTTGCTTCTGCTGAGGAGGTGAGATTTTTCTGGGGGAAGGAGCTGGCCTTGTGAGTTCCTTCTTCAGATAAGTGCATCCCTTCTCTCTGCCAGGAGTGGTAGCTGGAGTTGGTGTTTTGGTTGATGCTATTAATGCAAAGTCTGTGTAAATAGTGATGAAATTAGGAGTGTATTTGTGATTCAATCCCTTCTGTAACTGCTGGTAACCCTCTGTCACTCTTCAGGAGATCTTTGCAGCAACAGACCCTCAGACACATGGTCTGAATGTTGGGATTGTCCTGTGCAGGGACAGGAGTTGGACTGGATGATCCTTGTGGGTCCCTTCCAGCTCACAACCTTCTATGATTCTGTGGCTGCTTGTGTTTGTAGTGATGATGGTGTCCTGTTTTGCTACCCTGAAAAGGCAGCTTGGGCAGTCTGTGGAGCACGTGCTTTCAGTGCATCTGCTCTGAGACCCACCAGATGATCCAGAGCTCTGCACAGGGTAAGGGTGTTGCTCTGAAACTGCCCGGAGGACCTGTCACTACCATAACTGCTTCTCTGTCTGCTTTCCCCTTAGGTCCCCTAAGTGAAAGAAGATGGGGTCTGGCTGCCTAAAAGTCACCAAGTACTTCCTCTTCCTCTTCAATCTCCTGTTCCTTGTAAGTATTGCAGGCATCTGCAGAGTAGAAAGGAAGGCCTGGACTAAAATTAGCTGTAAAAGTGAGGGTTTTTCTTCTGGATGTTGGCCCAGTGTGTTCATTAAATAAAACAACCAGAGTTTTGGAAGGAGGGAGGGAATCCCTGAAGCTGAGGGACATCAGAGCTGCTCTGCAGCTCCCACATACGTTGAGCAGCTCTGCTCCCAGTACCCACCTGCTGTCTCCAATGCACACAGCTCCCTTCACACTGCAGTGGGAAGGGAAGACAGGAGCTGTGGGTCCTTTCTGGAAGGAGACTACTTGTAACTCCTTTATTTGACACATCTGGAGCAACAACTGAGCTGCCCCTGAGCAGCAAAGCTACAAAACCTGCCAAATAATGGCAGTGCCCTTTTAAATAGGCCAGGCAAAATTCAAAGAACAACTCTAATTTTGTTCCAGTCCCAACGGCTGCTTTTGACTTTTTACAAGATGAATTAGTCCAAGTCCCCTATTTGAAATGGAGTTGGGAGGTGGGGGACACTGGGGCAGGCTTGCCCAGGGAAATGAGGCAGCTCACTGGATGTGATTATTTTCAAGTGTGAGGCTCAGCAGATGAGCTCCTTTTGGATCAGAGCAGGGCTGGGAGGGCCACACACATTCTTACACACATCCTTTTGTGAAACTTAGATATTGTGTGTCACACAGACAGTGATGGTAGTGTTGGTGCTGCCTTCCCACAGTGGGATGGTGTAGTGGGGAAGGATAAGGTTTCAGCTTTGACATTATCAGCGAGAAAACAGCCTGTCTGATATTGTTACCCTTTCTGCAGCGTGTGAGGGGAAGGAAGGGCCAGGCTGGGAGGGCAGGGAGGGAAATGGAGCAGGATAAGGTGAGCACTGCTTTCTGAACTCTGTCCCTGCACACAGCTTCACCCTTGTTTCCTGCATGGCTGCACTGTGCTGCTGACACATGGGCTTGAACTTGAGGCACATCTGGATCTGGTTTCCCTTGGCTTACTCTGCTGGACCTTTCCTCTGTGTTCTGCTTCCATCCTAAGAGTAGTTAGCTCTGGTCTAGGGGGTGAAAGTCAGGGGTGCTCAAAGCATCCATGGGGAAGACTCTTGCAGGGGAGAGGAGAGGTTTTTTCAAGTGCCACTAGATCTTTCAGAGTTTGATTTGGTCCACTTTAAGGATGGGAAAAAAATCTAGCTGAGTCCAGGCCTGTCCTCCTACTAGTGCAGGACTCTTCTGAAGATGTATTAGCATCCATGCTATCTCCTCTCTTGAAGAGCTGGTACTTTTTAAGCAGCACATAACTTAACCAATCTACCCTGGGAAGCAGAGCTTGTGGGTCTTGGGGAGGCTTGAGCACTCCTGTCTGGGTGATTCCATAGAGAATCACTCCCATTTCCAGTCAGCCCCAGATAATTTACTAAACATGACGTGATATGATCTGGAATATCCCATTGGCACATCCAAATGCCAGTTTGGGGTTTGCTTTTCCCCCCACTTCTCCCTCCCAGTCCTAATGCAGCTGTGAACCAGCCAAACACAATGACCTTGAGCTCCAGCAGCAATTAGTAACACCAGTACTTTTATCAATGTTCTTCTCATAACAAATCCCACACTGAAAGCAAAACACACCTATTCGAGCTACTGAGAAGAAAATTAACTCCATCCTAGTGAAACCAGGACATTTGCTAAGCCTGCTGTGCAGCACAGATGTTGTCTTCCCCTCAGGCTGCTCCGTGGAAGTGAGGTCTCTGAAGCTGCTGTGAAGTTCTAGTGAAGAGCTTGATACTTTCTCTAGAGTGAAGATTTTGAGCGTGCTTCTGTCTTGACTGACAGCAGGCTTTTTGCACGTGCTAGATGTTGATGAGGAAGGTGGTATCCATTACTCTCTCGCCGTCATAGGAAGTCGTTGACATGAGAAGCTTTTTCCGTTATGGTTGCTGAAGGTCTGAATGGGGATGGGGAAAATCATGAGCTTATACAATGTGCTAGATCACTATTAATCTAACAGAGAACCTGCTTCTGTTGAGTTGCTGTGAGCTCCCAGCAGGGACAGGCTTTGCATAGCTCACACTGGTTTGCTGGATCTGCTGAGTTTTGTTGAGGAGAGTGGATATGAATACTGATGATGGAGCTCTGCATCTGCTCTGGACCTTGAGCTGAGCCTCTGTGATTGCATCCCATGCAGGCCAGCCCTTGCTGTGTGAAGTGTGCTCTCCAGCCTTGCTTGGACCTGATGAATTAAGCCTTTAGAGACATGCTAGTGACTCTTTTAGAAGCTAGTCAGTCACTGAAATAGCATTTCTCTACAGCTTTTGAAGTCTATGAGAAGGTCCCTTGCTATAGCTAAAGTAGTTCAGAGTCTTGGTGGTATTTTACAGTCTTGGAGCCTTACTTCAGGGAAAGGTTAGACCTGCTTGGATTAAAGGGAAGAAGGTTGTTTGGACTGCTTGCCTACTTGCTACAAAAAAATAATACTAAAAACACAAGCTTGGAGAATAAGCTTAGTTTCTCTAATAAAAACTTCCCAGGTCTCTACCTTCTTGGGTAGCAGACATGGACCACAGTGGATCCTTCTCCTTAAAGGGTAAACAGTTCTGTGAGACAAGTTCAACAGTCTCTGGAAACTCTTTGTTTAGAATATGTAACTGTCTGTCCTACTTCCAACCCTTCTGTAAATGGAGCAGAAGGTTACTACTTAAAACAAAGCCTGGAGTTTAAGAGCCTTTCTCTTGGTCCCTGTGCCAGACTCAATGTTACCTTGTGTGATCTGAGTGTGAAGAGAGGCAGGGCTGGAGCAGGACAGTCAGGGACCCTTCCAGAAAGGTGAGTCAACTCCATCACAGCTTAGTTCTTCCATGCCCCTCTTCACTGGGCTCTGCTGTGGAGAAACTGATGGCCCTGCCTTGAGGGAGCTGCATCTTTCTGGCTTGGGTATGGAAAGGGATATTGCTGAAATCATGAGGTGAAATCTCCATCCTCAGGGTGGAGGGGAGACATCAGTCCCTTCCTTCTGGAGTTTAAAGCAGTGGAGCAGGGAAATTAAACTCTGGAAGGCAGATGTGATTTCTTCTGTGGAGGATCTGAAGCCAAAGGCAGTGGCAGAAGCAGCTTTGCTGTGCCATGCCAACTCCTGAAGGTGCTGAGCAGAGGTACCATCCTGCTAGGAGGTAAATACACTGTTGTGAATAACACTGTTTTCTCCCTGCCTTCCCCTTTTAGTGTTCTCCTCAGCAGCTCCTGGCAAACACATGAGTTGTGGACTAGAGCAAAGATCAGAGTGAAAACAGACCTTGGATAGTCTGAGCCACCTCATAACAAATGACTTCCCAGGGACTCAGCTCAGCAGCCCTTCTGTGTTTTGTCAGCAACGGCAAAACTGAGGTGACATTTCAGGGTCAGTGAGCCAAGAGAGTTGTCACGTACGGCCCGGTTTGCATCTCTGTTAAGACAAATATTTTATTGAGACTGTAGTTTAAATGTGAGTCTGCCTCAAACTGTAAATTCAGCAGTTCTTGGCAATACCAAGTTTCGAGAGGGATTTTTTTAGGTGCCGCAGCTGTTGCGTGTTCAAGGGGCCTTTCTAGTTTGATCAGCAGATTAAGTGCTGCATGTTGGGACGTCAGGCAACGGGGAATTCTTGTTACTGCCCCTCTTGCCATTTTTTTGCCCTATTTTTTTTTTCTCTACAACAGCTAGATGCTTTCTGCCACTGAATCAGTCATCTTCATCCATCTTCACAGATGGGAACTTGCTTGGTGACTTTCTAATCCTGTCCCTAGAGCTAACTACATGCTGTGCCCTCTGCCAAGCCAGGAGAGCTTTCAAGCAGCTTACTTCAGACTGCTGCTTTATCTTTGCTGAGAAAAGCTTCTTTGTATGAAGAGCTGAAGCATCGTGTGAACTTTCAAAATGGGGAGTCAGTGCCTGTCCATACAAACCCCTCTGCCAGCTTGCTTCAGGTGATGGTTTGGCATTTCTCTTGTCTCCCAAATACCAGAGCATTCTCTAATGAAGCACAGAATTGCAATCTGTCTTCAGCCCTGTTGGTTTATTTAGTATTTCACTACGCCCTGTCTTGAAATCCTGCTGGTGTAAGAATTGCTGCTTGTAGTTCACATCATCTGGAAGCATCTCACTTGGACTCCTTGTCCTTCTCTGGTTTCTTCGAAGTCTGTTTTAGATCTTTGCCAAGTGAGTGGTTTCCAGCCTTTGCCACTTCTTAGTTGACTGTATGGCACAAGTTTCACCTTCTTATCAAACCTGTAGATTTAACAGGTTTCTCAGCATAGTTACTTTATTATGGGTATAATTCTCATATTATGGGTATAAATCTCATTATATTATGATGAGATATGGGTAATTATGGGTATAAATGTCATCCTGATTTGGAAGCCAGGGACATCCATATGCAAACACCTCACAGTGTAGTATAAAATGTGGTGATACCTGGAAGCTAAACCAGACCATGCTTCCCTTCCCTTGTCAAAATGAGATGGGAAAACTGTGTCTCTTGCCTTCTCAATTCAGTGTCTGGATTCAGCTGAGTCCTCACAGGGACATGTTGCTCTATTAATCCATGCCCTAGATAAGGCTCTGTGTTGAGCGAGACAGAGATTGTGGCTGATGTTTCCTAAGACTTGACTGTCTGTTGGTGGTAAGATGAGTTGGCTTGAGGGGCTGGGGTATTCTGGCCAAGCCAAAATACCTGAGCTTGGCTTTGGAAGGGGCAAAGCATTTCACTCAAGGCAGCTTTCATACAAAGTGAACGGTGCTGGTTTTTTGCATTTGTGGGTTGAAGCCATAATGTTATAACAGAGCTTGACAAGGCGAAGATTTCCTTCTTGGGAAGGTTCCAGCTGCCAGATATCTAATCCTTTGGCAGCTGGCTCCCAGCCTGCTCCCATAGGGTCAGGGATTTCTCTATTAAAAAAAAATAAATACTGAAAATCATGTGCTAGATGGGTTTGTTCTTCCTTGGTTCTTTGCAGAAGCAGTGCACTTACCTTTTGCTTCTGACAGCAAGGTTCTAGCAGCGAGATGTCTCTTCCTGAGAGACCTTTTTGAATGGTCCTCCTAAACAATATCATGTACTACTAAAATACCACGTGGAGGACTGCTGAGCAGAACCTGGGGCTCCTGTGCAGTTGGCTGAGGCACTTGCTCTTCCTGCAGTCGTGCTAATCCTGTTTACTTTGGGAGGAGTGCCATGGGGGAGATGGGTGGGAACAGCAAAAGAATGGTTGTTTTTACTCTGGAAGTGTAAGTGTGGAGAATAGTAACTGCTTCTTATTTGTCTCAACTAATAAGCCAACTATCTGTGTTTTGTTCTTACTCTTTCAGATCCTGGGTGCTGTGATCCTGGGTTTTGGAATATGGATTCTGGCCGACAAAACCAGTTTCATTACAGTTCTACGTAAGACTCTTTCTTCATTTCTTTCTCCTTCTGAATTGACTCTAGTCTGGGGCTTTGCTTGACCATGGTGTAGCCTAGGGATGGCAATGCTTTTATGCACACTCTGTGACCCGAGAAGTAATATGATGTATAGCAAGATGGGACTTTGTCAGGGACAGGGTGAAAGGGAACAACCCTGGAGACACAGCATTTCTCCTAGTCTTGTGGATTGCAACACTAGGGTCAGACTGAGACCATTGCCTCTTCACCCCAAAATCCACATACTTCATCTTAAACATGGGGACTAGGATTTCAGCCTCTTTTCACTGCATGCTCTGTGTTTCCACAACAGCTTCCTTATTGCCATCATGTCAGAAGGCCCCTAATGCCTTAATGTGGTTTTGCTATGCGAGTCCCCTGTGTTCCCACTGCTTTCTGTAACGATCTATTTCACTTTAACTGTTTTAAATGCCAAAGAAAGTAAGTACCTGGTTTTATTGATGCTTCATGTACATTGAAAGTAGCCAGTGTGGTTGTTCTTAAGCAGTAGAGGATGTAGATCTGAGGGGATTTGGAAGGTGTGGGTCTGCAAAGTGTTTACTGTCCTGACTTCTAAAACATCCTCGATTATACACACTTCACAAGACTTAGCCTGGCCATCAAGAGGTGTTTTGTGTCCCTGCACATGTGAGGTGCTAGCTTCCTTCCCCTCTCAGTCAGCCAAGAGCATCCACTCGAGTCTTAACAGAGGGTCTGCTTTCTGCAACAACCAAAAGCAGAGCCTGGGCTTTGCAGGGACCCTCACCAAATGAGTTGCTCAGCTCCATCTTTCACAAGCTCTGCTTCCTTTGTGCTTTTTCCTAGAGGGGGCTTCAAACAACTTTACTACTTAGTGGGTCTGTAGCCACTACCTCCAGTGTCAGATACTGCTGGAGGGCTGCCTGCACACTGCTCACAGCCCCAGGGAATGAACAGTAATGATATTCATAGTCCTGTTCCCAACTAGACTGATCCTGCAGAAAAGGGCTTTATCTCCCAAG